TTGATCCACCTGCTCGGGAACAAGATAGAGAGCCTCCTGTCTTAGCATCTCCAGCGGTTGAAGAAGAGGCAGAGAAGGGGGTTGAGGTGCCTGCACCTAATCCGCAACCGGTAGTGAAGGAGTATATCCTGAAACTTCCCTTCCCTACTCGGTTGCACAGAGACAGGCTGGAAGCAGAGTTCAAAAACTTCATGGCCATGCTTAAGAAGCTGAATGTCCAAGTGCCCTTCTTGGAGGCACTATCACAAATGCCTAAGTATGCGAAGTTTCTGAAGGAGCTTCTTTCGAAGAAGCAGAAGCTGAGTGAGCTGGCCACTGTGGAACTCAGCGAGGAGTATTCGGCTATTCTGCAGAACAAGCTTCCGCAGAAGAAGAAGGACCCAGGTAGCTTTACTATCCCGTGCTCTATTGACAAATTGCATGTAGAGAGGTCCTTGGCGGATTTAGGTGCTAGTATCAATGTTATGCCGTACAAATTGTTCAAGAAACTAGGCCTAGGTGAACCCCGTGCCACTAGGATGACCCTCCAATTAGCTGACCGATCCGTAGTGCATCCTAGGGGCATAGTGGAAGACCTTCTGGTTAAGGTTGGCAAATTCAATTATCCTGTGGATTTTGTTGTCCTGGACATCAATGAGGACACAGAAGTGCCCCTTATACTGGGAAGGCATTTCCTGGCCACCGCCAAGGCTCTCATAGATGTGCATGATGGGACCTTAGTTTTGAGGGATGGCGAGGAGCGAATCACGTTTTCAATTGCTAATACTTTACCTGCTTCGTCACCTCTGCATGCTGTATCTCACCAGGAGCACGAGTCTGTCGTGTATCCTTCTGTGTTGCCTATTTTGCAGGACCCGCCTCTCACACCTTCGCCGCCACTCCTGACCACTCCATCACCAAAAGTACAGATCAAGGAGGAGTGGCGGCCGAAACTGCAGGCAGCTAAGCCTGCTCGAAAGAGAGCCGGAGACCACTACGAGCTGGTCCCGCCCCCACCTTGGCCATCCGAGTATTCACTCGCTTGCATCTTGCCGGATGGCCAAGTCGAGCTGGCGAATGCTGGTGGCCACATTCGTCGCGTGCATGGCCACCATTTGAAGTTGTACCTCAAGAGCGATGTGGATCCGATCTTGAAGGCACCTGATCCTACACTTCCCTGAGCATCCATACTGGCGTCCAGCTAAAAGACGGTAAAGTAGCGCTTGTGGGGAGGCAACCCCACCAAGGTTTGTTTTTCTTTCGTTTGTTTTTATCGGTTTGTCCACTTGGAACTATGGTTTCTATCACCCAGTGTGTTTTGCTGATGCTAGCCCCGCTGACTGGTCCACTTCCAGTCCCCCTGCAGTGTTTCAATCCGGTAACATCGTTCCCCTTATTTCTCCCTCTACTCCATTGAGGGCAATGTCGTGCTTAAGTGTGGGGGGGTGCTTTGTATCGGTTGGAATATATATTTGGGTGCTTGGAGCCTAGTCCGCTGTGCGAATCTTACGATTTGAGGGCCCCAAGTACTGCTGTTTGATCATATTGGCACTGTGTTTTGATGGATGAATTGAATGGTTTTCGGACTAAAGCATGACAACTTGTTTGCGACTAGGACAACCTATGATGAGGACTGAGATGTGCAGTAAAATTGTGTAGGAGTTCAGTTTTTCACCTGTTTGCTTACCAACTATGACTTGATCTGATTACTTGTTCTTGACAGTCTTTTATGCATCTAGTTCAGGGTATCAGAATGTGAGATAGAGCATATAGGTATCCATGTGAGATTTGAGCATGCTCGTTTCTTTCTTGTGCGATAGATCCCTCTTCCATGATGTGTAGCATTCACGTTGTCACTAGCTAAGATGATGGGGGCATAGGATTAGCCCACGCCCAAAAACTGACTGTCCTGATGTGTCATATCCCCTAGTCAGCCCCTTTGAGCCGTGTGTTATCCTTTCTTTTGGTCTATAACGAAAAAGAATCACCCTTGTTGCATCTTTTAGAAGGTTCCACAGAGTGGTTTTTACATATTCTCTGTTGTTTCTGCTAAAGTTTATGTGAGTGTTGGAGGTAGTGCTTAAAAGTTGGGCAGGTGTTTGAAATATGTGCAAAAGTGGTGGCTCTCTTAAGAAATGGAAAGAAAATGAAAGAAAAACAAAGAAAAAAAATTGAAAGCAAAAGAGAGCCACTACCAAAAATCTGAATAATGCCCGTTTAGTAGTGTTTCTTAGCAGTCTGGCTTGGAAATGCTGACGTTTATACCTCCTTCGCTCTTGTGCTCTTGAGATGTTGAGTATTGCAGAATAGCAGAAAGGGAATACCGGTTTGTTTGACTGTGATTGTGTGGGTTTGGAAATGTAGAACCTTGTGCTATGAATACTTCCACCACTTAAAAGGCCTTTTCCCCATGTCCAAGACCCTAGCCAGTCATTTGAACCTGTGTCTAAGACCTCCTGATTAGTTAGTGGTGACACCCCATATGTGAACTCTAGCATTTAAAGGCTGCCATCATGGTGAAGAGATGATAGGGATTGAGAGAAATAGCATGCGCATTTTTCGCATCAAATTGTCTTGACCCCACTGGTCGAGAGTGAGTGATTCATTTTCATATTCTATATACTCTTGTACCCCGGTGAGGACCTAGATTGCTCGGTCTCTGTTCTGATGTCTTGGGTTGGATGCATGAGTTGACTGTTTTGAGTAAGTGGTTGAGTCAAGTCTAGGTTGGTTGGTGAACAGAAGGGAGACTCTTCCTTTACTCGAGTTGCTGCACTCGAATGTCCTTTGTGGTGGTTGTCCAGGTTGCTATTGAGGTTGTTCATGTGTTGATGTTTGAAAACCAGTACGATTCACGTGTTATGTGCCTTTATGACTTGTCCCCAATGTTGGTTGATTGAAATATGTAAGCTTACTTGGTGTCTGACTTGGTTTGCTTGGGGACAAGCAAACGGTTAAGTGTGGGGGAGTTTGATAGACCGTTATTTACACATGTTTTTACCCCTGTTCTTACACCGTTTGAGGTGTTGATTCTCGTGTTTTAGGCCGATTTCACGCTAGGTTGTGCTTGTTTGTGATATTTCAGGACCTAGTACGTGAATGGAGGCTTGGGAGCGAGTTTGGGATCGATTGAACGAAGATCGGACGAATGGCGAGGGTTCAAGAAAGCCACACGGGCAGACCGTGGAATCACACGGCCGTGCAAGTGACAAGCCAGGCCGTGTGGGATTGTGCGAGAGCAAACACGGGCAACCCTGGCTTTCACACGGCCGTGCCAGTGAGCAAAGTGGCCGTGTGATTTTTGCCGAGGCCACCCACGGGCTACCCAGGAAATCCACAAGGCCGTGCAACCCTGGCCGTGTGAGATGGCTGAAGATCAAATTAATGGGACGGTGCGTTTTGACTCGCACGGCCACTTGGGTGAGCCACACGGCCGTGTGGCCTGCCCGTGTGAGTCGGGAAATTCTGGTTTTTGAGCCAATTTCGAGCCAAAAGTGGAAAAATCGGATTTTCAGAGCAAAAACAGAGCCCTAGAGAGAGAAAGTGCGAAGAACACATCCTAGAAGCTATCTTGGAGCTGGGTTTCACCGAATCGAGCTTGGAGATCATCATAGGAGTGGAAATCATCATCCCGGAGCAGATTTTCCTCATCATTATGAGTATGACTACTCCGATTACTGTTTTCTCTTCTCTCTCTATGGAGTAGAACCCTTCTCTCACTTGGGTATGAAGAACCCTAGTTCCTTGTGTTAGGGATTTGATTGTAATAACTTGGGATGATATTACTGTTTGATTTTAATCGAATGATGCATGTTTATTGAATTGATTGGAGTCTAATCAGCTTTTCTCAATTTCTGCTGCAACCTGAGATAGATAGAATCTGATTAGGTTGTTAGAGCCTCTTCATTCGATAGTAGGAGATTGGCTATACGAGAGTTAGCCAGTTTACTGCTTTGTACTGGAATTCAATTCCAGTAGTGGAGTTCTGTGTTCATAGCCTCAGCTTTCTATCCCGGTGAAGGCTAGTCGTCTGCCGGGTAGTTAGACTGAGAGGGCTTGGTCAGCTTAAGAGATTCCAAGCTACTGTCGGAACTTCCGCAGTCTAATCAACAGTGAATCAACCCAGGGGAATTACAATTGAACCTAACTAAGGGGCTAGGGGGACTCAATCCCGAGTGACTATTTCCTGACTTTGAAAACCGAATTATTACTTGCTTTCTTACTGCTTTTGCTTTGAACAACAATCACTCGAATTAGTTTGTTAGATAACAGAGAATCACGGAGTAAGCAGTAGATCTAGACCCCGGGTTGATAATTGAACTTGCCTGTTACTGCATTCCCGGACTGCGATTACACTTGGTCGCAGTTTGGTGTTGTGTTTTGGCGTGTCAGTATTCGAGCACTTAGGCCACTCTCATGGGCCTATTGGGCTGGGTCTATTTTTGTGTTTGTTGTCTTGCAGGCAGCTTGCACTTCAATTCGGTGTTGTGGGCCCTAGATTTTAGCATGAGTAGCGGACTCCAATCCTAGGTGGGGGCACGGAGAGCTTTAAGGCACAGTGGTGTAGTGAGGAAACTTATATCCTTTTTTAGGGTTTAGTGTTTTTGTCACTCTATTCTTAGGAACTAACAGAGCTGCCCATTTTGTGGCATAAAGGGCTCTTTCATCGGCAGATCGATTAGTATTGACTGCCGTTACTTTTACCTATTGTAAACATATCTGTCTACTATTTAATCTGACTATGATAAAAAATAAAAAAAAATGTTGTGTCTTGTGTGGAATTCCTATATCCTCTGAAATTGAAGGATACAAAATATCCAAGTGAATTTTCAAAAGCCTGAGAAGAATTAAGGGGGAAAAGGAAGAAAACCCTAGCTCTACGTCCTCCCTACTTTAAGAACTACACAAGAATACAAGATGTCTTTTGGATTAGTGATTAACTACAATGTGTTTGCTTTGTTTTGTTTAGCTTACTTGAACATCAAACAACCTCTTACTTTGCTCGTGATGCAGGGTGAGATTCAATACTCCCATGGGAGAAGGGAAAGCTTCTGAGATAACATCATAAGAGAAGCTCCCTTCTGCTCTCCTCCTCTTGTCCAAGAATGCTGGCCTACCCTTGCATTAGCTTTACACGTAAGCATTGCCACCACCTCAGACATCGGAGACCTCAGGTTTGCCAGCGATTGAATACACAAGAACGCTACGTGGATCACGTGCACCACATCTCTCTCCACGATCCCGTGTTTTCGGAGCCTCAAATCTATCAGCTCGTTCACCTTGTTTTTCTCGTATAGCTTCCACGCATGCAAGAGAAAATGTAATTGACACCATTGGGATGGCTAGGCCTCATAAAATTAAGCAAGGAAACACACTTATGTATTCAGGATGGTACTGCTGCTCTGTTGGTAAGTTGAGATTTGTGTTCTTCCTACAACAGATGATCTCAAGAAGGAGCACTCCAAAGCTGTAGATGTCGGCCTTCTCTGACAACTCACCCCGGATCGCATACTCTAGTGTTGTGTATCCCCTGATGAATGACAAAGATTAGTGAATTTGGAAATTCTTTTGATTTGAGACTGGTACTTGAAGTTTATTTAGAAGAACTCACAAGGTCCCTGCAAATGTGGTGCTGAGATAAGCTTGGTCTTCAGGGAAGAATCTGGCCAGCCGGAAATCGCTAATCCGGGGCTGGAACTTGTCGTCCAGAAGAACATTGCTTGCTTTCATGTCTCTATGCACGATTCTCAAAGGGGATTCTTCGTGCATGTTGATGTGACTTGAATCGGACTATCAGCCGCTACGACTGGTAGTCATGGGTCTCGCTACCCGGTCAGCGAGTGGGGTCCAGGGGCAATGCCCCCGGCCCACGGCGTACGGGCTCAATTTTATTTGTGTTCGGGTTCTGGTCCTGGTCTGTAACCGTTTCCTTTGTCATATTGGATTAGTTTTAGACCCACATGGAGAAGTATAAATACTTCTCATCTCCTCTGTAATCTGTAATCTCCTCGATATAGTGAATCTGGCTCTCTCTCGCTCGTGGACTAGCTAACACACATCGTGTTAATGAACCACGTAAATCGTGTGTCTGTGTTTTTCAATTCTCGCTTTCGTATTCTTGCTTTATCAATTCCGGCGATTTCCCGATCCGTAGCAGCGCGTTTATAACAAGTGGTATAAGAGCTGCGACTGGAAATCAGGCTAGGGTTTTCGATTCAAAAGAATGACGTCGGTGAACATGAAGATCGAAAAGTTCACGGGGAAGAACAGCTTCGCTATATGGCATATCAAGATGCAGGCTTTATTAAAACAACAAGGGTTGTGGGGGACGCTGTCTACGAAACAGAAGAAGGCAGCGATCGATGACGAGAAGTGGAATACCCTAGAGGAGAAGGCCCACTCGACCATCATGCTATCGTTGTCTGATGACGTCATCATTGAAGTCACTGCTGAGAAGACTGTCGCGGGCTTGTGGTTGAAACTAGAGAGTCTGTACATGACTTAGTCTCTAACCAACAAGCTCCATCTCAAGCAATAGTTGTTTAGCTTGAGGATGCAAGAAGGTACGCCTTTGAGGGAACATCTCGAACAACTTAACTCTATTTTGCTGGATCTGCGTAATATATATGTTCAAGTTGATGACGAGGATGCTGCCCTAATCCTGCTGGTTTCTTTGCCAAGTTCATATAAGAATTTCGTTGATTCTTTTATTGCCGGTAAAGAAAGCGTGTCGTTGGAGGATGCCAGGTCTGCTCTTCATACGAGAGAGATCATGCATAAGGCATCCGGATCTGGTACAGGTGGTGAGGCATCAGGTTTGGCTGTTACAGGTGGAAAGGAAAAGAAGAAATATGGTAAAGGGAATTCGAACAAGAATTCCAAGGGTCCTGGTCCACAGCCAGGTGATGCTTGTCACAACTGTAAGGAAGTGGGGTATTGGAAGTACAATTTTCCCAGGAGAAGAGGGCACCAGAAGAAACAAGGTTCAGTTGCCTTGGCAGAAGTGGACAACCGTTCTGAAGACGATCTCGCCTTGGCTGTAGATGAGAAGGCACATCGTGGGGTGTGTGGTTTCTGGATACTACAGCCTCATACCATATGTCAACAGGGATTGCTTCATAACCTACAAGCAGATAGATGGTGGTAACGTGGTAATGGCAAATGGAGCTGTCTGCAAGATTGTTGGAATCGGGTCCATAAAGGTTCGGGCACATGATGGTTCGTTCTGTACCGTGAATGATGTCAGACATGTTCCACGAATGACAAAGAACCTGATCTTCTTGAGTCTACTCGACAGCAAGGGTTTCAGCTTCAAAGGAAAAGGTGGAGTTGTGTATGTCTGCAAAGGTTCAAGGAAGGTGCTGAAGGGAGTGAAGTGTGGGACCTTGTATGCATTACAAGGGTCTGTGTTGTCTGGTTCTGCTGCAGTTGCATCGTCTCAGGTTCATCAGGAAGATATGACCACTCTCTGGCACATGAGACTGGGGCATATGAGTGAACAAGGGATGCAAGTTCTGTCGAAGAGGGATCTTCTTTGCGGGCACAAGGTGCAGAATTTGGAATTATGTGAACATTGTATGTTTGGGAGCTACATCGCAGCAAGTCTCCCAAGAAGGGTATCCACCGGACGAAGGGGATACTGGATTACCTCCACTTCGACTGTTGGGGTCCTTCAAGAGTTGAATCCATTAGAGGCAGCATGTATTTTCTGTCTATTATTGATGATTATTCGAGATTTACTTGGATTTTCATGGTGAAGCAGAAAAGTGAGGCTTTCACAAAGTTCAAGTAGTGGAAGACATTGGTGGAGAATCAGACAGGAAATAAGATCGAGAAGCTGCAAACGGACAATGGTCTGGAGTTCTGCAGTTCTGAGTTCAAAGAATTCTGCAAGGATGAACGGATTGCCCGTCATCGCACCGTTAGAGATACACCCCAGCAGAATGGCGTTGTAGAAAGGATGAACCAGACATTGTTGGAGAGAGCACGGTGCATGCTCTCTAATGCTGGACAAGAGAGAAGATTATGGGCATAAGCAGTGAACATGGCGTGCTTCCTGATCAACCGTGGACCTCACACAGGTATCGAGTGTAAGACTCCTTATGAAGTGTGGTATGGTAAGCATGTTGATTACTCTTCACTGAAAGTTTTTGGGTGTCTTGTTTATTATCACATGGATGAGGGTAAATTGAACCCAAGGGCAAAGAAGTGTGTATTTGTGGGTTACGGAGATGGAATTAAGGGATTTCGAGTCTGATCACCTTCCGAGCATCGAGTTATACTTAGTACAAATGTGATATTTGACGAGAAGTCTATATTTAACCCCATGTTGAAGGTCACTATTGTTGAAGATAGCAGGAATGTTGATAAGCAGGTGGAGCTGCAAACTCTCAATTAGAGTGAGTTTGAGCACCAAGGTGGAGAAGATCAACATGATGAAGATGTGTCTGCAAAGCCGGAAACTTCAGAGCCCAGTGCACGAGCTCAACAGTCTATGGCTTTCAGTAGACCGAAGAGAGCGACTGTAGGAGTATCTCCACAGAGGTATGGCTTCGAGGACATGGTGACGTATTCATTTCAGGTTTCTGAAGAAGTGGATGCAGGAGAGCCACGATCCTATAGAGAAGCAGTTTCGGGTGGTGAAGCTGATTAGTGGCTTGCCGCAATGGGAGATGAGATGGAATCCCATGACACGAATCAGACTTGGGAGCTAGTCAAACGATCACAGGGAAGGAAGATTGTGACAAACAAGTGGATCTACAATAAGAAGGAAGGAATCAGTTCTGAAGAGGGCATTAAATTTAAAGCTCGGGTGGTTGCACGAGGCTTCTCGTAGAGTGAAGGAGTTGACTACAATGAGATTTTTTTACCAGTAGTTAGACATACTTTGATCAGAGTGCTACTAGCAATAGTGGCATTTTATGACTTGGAGTTAGAGCAGCTAGACGTGAAGACAGCTTTCCTACATGGAGAGTTTGAGGAAGAAATTTATATGACTCCGCCAGAAGGATTCCAGGTTCCAGGAAAAGAAGACTATGTTTGTAAGCTGAAGAAGTCTTTGTATGGACTTAAGCAGTCCCCGAGGCAGTGGTACAAGAGATTTGACAGTTACATGCTTGGTCTGGGCTGCAGTAGACGTTCATATGATTGTTGTGTGTATCACAACAAGGTGGAGGATGGTTCGATAATCTATCTTGTTCTGTATGTGGATGATATGCTCATAGCTGCGAGTTGAAGTCTGATATCCAGAAGTTAAAGGGGCTTCTAGTGCTGAGTTTGAGATGAAGGATTTGGGAGTTGCTCAGAAGATCTTGGGTATGGAGATTTACAGGGACAGGTCGAAGAAGAAGCTTTTCTTGTCACAGAAGAGCTACATCTAGAAGATACTGTCGAGGTTTGGCATGTCTTCAGCAAAGCCCTTAAATACTCCTAGTGCCTCAAATATTCATCAATCCTCAGCTTATGCAACGCAGTCAGAGGCTGAGAAGGAGTACATGTCAAGAGTCCCATATGCTAGTGCAGTAGGTAGCTTGATGTACGCTATGGTATGCACTAGACCTGATCTTGCACATGCTATTAGTGTTGTCAGCAGTTTCATGATACAACCTGGGAAGGAGCATTTGCAGGCTGTGAAGAGGATCTTCCGGTACCTTAAGGGTACACCTGATGTGGGGATTAGCTTCGGAAGTGATATAGAGTGCTTGGTGTCTGGGTATTCTGACTCGGACTATGCTGAAGATGTTGACACGAGGAGATCGATGACCGGTTATGTATTCACTCTTGGAAGTTCTGTAGTGAGCTGGAAGGCAACTCTGCAGTCGGCGGTGACATTGTCTACTACTGAGGTAGAGTATATGGCGTTGACAAAAGCTGCTAAGGAGGGAATATGGTTGAAGGGACTGGTTGGTGATCTGAGTCTACATCATGATTAGACAGTGGTGTATTGCGACAGTTTGAGTGCAATATGCTTGGCCAAGGATCAAGTCCACCATGAGAGGACTAAGCACATCGACGTGAGGTATCATTTCTTGAGGACACAGAAGAGGATTAAGGTGAAGAAGGTTGGCACCGTGGATAATCCTATTGATATGTTCACGAAGACAGTTCCACATGGCAAGTTCCAACACTGCTTGGACTTGCTGAATGTCTTGAGTGGGTGACTCCGACCAGCGGGGCATTGATGGCGGGAGAGAGAGAGAGAGAGAGAGAAAAGGAGCATAATATTTCAGAGATTTCAGAGGAAGAGGATTCAAGTCAAGGTGGAGATTTATTGATGTGACTTGAATCAGACTATCAGCCGCTACGACTGGTAGTTAGGGGTCTCGCTGCCCGGTCAGCGAGTGGGGTCCAGGGGCAACTCCCAGGTGGGGGTGTGGGGGCAACGCCCCCGACCCACGGTGTACGGGCTCAATGTTATTTGGGTTCGGGTTCTGGGCCTAGTCTGTAACTGTTTCCTTTGCCATAATGGATTAGGTTTAGACCCACATGGAGAAGTATAAATACTTCTCATCTCCTCTGTAATCTGTAATCTCCTCGATATAGTGAAACTGGCTCTCTCTCGCTCGTGGACTAGCTAACACACATCGTGTTAGTGAACCACGCAAATCGTATGTCTGTGTTTTTCGATTCTCGCTTTCGTATTCTTGCTTTATCGATTCCGACGATTCCCGATCCGTAGCAGCGCGTTTATAACAGTGCAGGTATTCTAGGCCTCGAGCTATGCCAAGGATTATCTGGAACCTTGTGTTCCAATCCATGAATTGATTGTTGTTTCCTAGTAATATAATCACTTCCCAATTCATCAAAAACTATCAGCAAGCCCATAAATATAATGTAAACTTACAAAATAGTCAATACTTATTCTAGACATAGAATCTGTTTTGTGAAATCGTACTGTATTGCTAGGCCGAATTGGTTGAACAATGTATCATAGTTAAAACAGGATTACGGTTATCCTATTTTTTCCCAGGATTTTATCAACAAATTTTGAACGGCGGACATTGTCGGTAATAATCGATTCCATCTTCTCGGTATAACATTAAGTTTTACATCTCATGATTAGGACATTCTCATTATGGTACATGTTAAGTTAATTCATTCTGGATCAAGGTTGTCAACCCGCGGGTCGACCGCTACAGGGTACCAAGTTGGAGGTCAAATTGTGTCATTTTTGTCTTTGGTTTGCGAAATGCGCCTATTTCCAATTTTTCTTTTTCGCCTAACTCAATCTTTCGAATCCTAAGTTGAACATTTGAATATTGATATTATATAAGTGTGTCTGTGTGAATTTTCACTATATGTTGAATCTAAGTACGACATGTTATTTTGGTGTAATATTATATGTTATAACTCATATGTTAGATGAGATTTGATATAATTTATGAGGATAAGTACAATATAATGATTATTTCCATATTTCCAAGCTAACCGGGGTGACCCATTAACCCTTGACCCACTACCTCGACCGGGTCCGAATCAGTCCGCGAGTTGACAACCTTGTTCTGGATATTGGGCCAGTACTTGTGCCTGGCGGTTTCGATCCCATCCATTAAAAATTACAAACACGAGAACAACTGTAAAGAATAAACACAGTGTGAAACCACATAGCAATCAAATTTCGACTGAAGATTCTCATGCTCAGCCCATTCTCTATGTATATCATGCATATGGAATTAAGGCAAGAATACAATAATAAGAATTTTGTTACCCCATGGAAGCTTGAAACTTTCGACCAACAAGAGAATAGATAGCCTGGTATTTGTTACTTACCATAAACTATGAGGTCCAAGCTCCTGTTCTTCATGTACTCATAGACAAGCAGGCGTTGTTCCCCATCGGAACAACATCCGAGAAGTCGTACCAAATTCTTGTGCTGAATGTTGGTGATCATTCTCACTTCAGCCAGAAACTCTGATTCTCCTTGGAAAGATTTCTCTAAAGATAGTCTTTTCACGGCCACCGTCCGACCGTCTCTCAACTTACCCTGAAATAGGTTTAATCCAAAAATGTTCAACTTTGGTAATGGAAAAATGTTCAACTTTGGTAATGGATGGGGAAAACAAAATATGTGGAATGTTTTTATGGATCCACAAACCTGATCAAAATCATAAACTCGGATCACACTGACCAAACTCATACATAACCATAAGCCATAACCCTACATGACGTATATCACCCAAACCTAACTCGATTATCAAGTTTTAATCTTGTCGATGAACTTATTTCGGACCACGGGACCACTATTAACAATCAACTCGATCTCAGCTCATTTGACACATTCAACAGAAAGTGTAACAAAATAAACATTTAGTTCTATCATCAAAATGGTTGTTTCGTAAAATTACCCTATAAACTGGGCCAAATCCCCCTCTCCCTAGGAGGTTATCGGCATGAAAGTTCTTGGTTGCCTTCTTCAACGCCTAAAAAATGAAGTAGCTAATCATTCTCAGAGTCCCACTCAAAACCTCAGATGCCACTCCTACATAGTTGGCAAAAATCATCATGTATGGATCCAATACCAATTAGTCTAGTCGTATTATTAGGTGATTACTTTCAAAATAAAAGATCGATTCAAATGTACGACACAAAAATACAGAAATTCAAGCCAAGTCTCCTATGTAGCGAGGTATTGGGGTCCGATTACTATGACGAACATACCGTTTATTGGTGTGAGGCTGTGAGCTGATGATTGTATGATTATGTGGAAAACATTAACCATTTCTCGAATAAACATGTATGATACTATATGCTAAATTATCACTATGTTTGATTATTCATCGTATTTGCAGGAAATTGAGCTTATAGGGTCTTGTCTACCAGATCGTACCCTAAATAGTATGAATTAACACCACTAATCCAAACACGATGTAAATTATTCGATCAATGTGTTGTCAATTTTGCAAAAATATTGTAATATCCATATTGAACTTGTGACGATGATATCAGCATGTGTTGATGGAAGGCTCATTCAAGATATTAACCGGACTCGTCTGCATGTTAGCAGAGATTGGGCTATTGATTGGGTGCATCATTTGAGATCAGATTTCCGGCCACTTAATTCAAAGAGTGACGATTACTTCGGAACTTAAACAAATTTATGAAAAGCGGATTTGCTAAAGGTTTGTTATTATTACCTTGAGGTTGCAGTGAATTGTCTTTCTTGGCGAACTTGGTGGTCACCTCGTTCAATTTCATGAACTTCCAGAAGACGGTGATGAGGATTAACAGAAGAACGAGGACGACCAGAACGCCGACGAAGAGGAACGATGCAGAAGAAGTCATCGGAGAGGAGGAAGATGGTGTACCACGCGGCTTAGGAAACTTACTCGGAGATGGCGGATTGGTCACTGTAAAATCATCACAGAACACTGTACGGTATCAGAGAAGGGGGAAAAAACAGAGACCGAGTTTCAAAAAAAAAAACAGAGACCCAGTTTCCATCTCGATCGGAATCGCAAAACCCACCTCCCAGAATTCGGCGAACCATGGCCCAGGACTAGAAACCCTGAGGCCAAAGCGAGGACGAAGAAGAAGCAGCAGCAGCAATGGCGGGAAATTGGGGAGATGGAAGAGAGAGTGAAAAATAAAAGAGAGTGATAGATGAGGGAATGACAAATGAATTGAATCCATCGGCGAGACAGTTGCGTAAGATTGGGGGGGAGAAACATAGGAAAAATTAAAAAGGAGAAGGAGAATTTTTTGAGGCGGGTGACGAATTGGCCAATGCCACAGTGGAGAGTGGAGGAAGGTGACGATTGGCTAGTTTCCAAAATGAGTATTTTCATTTCTTCCTTCCTTTTGCCTGCTGCTATTTCTCGCTCTCTTTCTTTCCTTCCTCTCTTTGTCTTCTCTGCTTGATTTTGGATTTTTCCTCTATCATGGTGCAGAGAAACTTGCAACCCACAAGTCCTACAAACGGAGTGCTTTGTTTGCTACTAAAAATTCAGTCAGTTGTGTATTGTTTTGTGTTTCTATTTTGTGAGTTGGTGACTTCTTAACAAGGTTCTAAAAGGCGCTAGGCGTAAGGCAGGCGCTCGACTCTTGACTTGCGCCTTGCCCGATTAGGCGTAGCCTAGGCGCGCCTAGGCGTTCAGAGTATAAATGGAAAAATTCTCAAATATTTCCTGTTTTCTGGAATAATTCATATAATCCAAGTGCATATAAAATTAGCAATGCCTAGTTCTTAACAGTAAACACTTAACATAACAAATAACAAGCAAATAGTGACCAATCATATGCTAATAGGTGCTTATAGAGGCAAGAAGCTTGTGCTACGTACCGAGGAGAAGGAAGGAGCAACAATTGGCGAGTTTCGACTTTATTTCCCACTATAGCAGCGGAGCGGTGTGAAGGCGAGAAGAGTGATTGATGACTTTCTCCTGCGGCGACAGAGAGCAGCAAATGGGGCGAGAGCTAGGGCGGCAGGCGATAGAAGATGGGGCGAGAGCTAGGACGGCAGGCGGCAGTAGATGTTACTTCCCGTGTTTCTGATTTTCTAGGGCAAGAGGCAAGTTTCTGATTTTCTAGGACAAAACGAAGAGTATTGGGTTTAACCGCCTAAGCTCGCCCAGGAACGCCCTCTCTCCACTAGGCGCAAACTAAGCGCTATTCCTACCTACTAAGCGCTACCAGCGCCTTTAACAACGCCTATGGCCAAGTCAAGGCGATCCTCCACCGCCTAGCGCCTAATTGAGCCTAGGCGTGCGCCTAGGCACGCCTTCTTGAACCCTGCTTCTTAATAAGCTAAATTTATTTGTATTATTACATTAGATAGTTTATGATGAAATTTGTAACAAATCAAATTTATGAGTGATTTAGCGTAGTATGACAAAGATTATTACTATTTTAAGCGTATGAATTGTTTATAAGACGGTTTGAGACCGATTTAAGATAGTCGGATAACAAAGATTCGAGGAACACATAGGGTTCGTTTGGATGTGGTTAAATATTTGTGTGGTATTTATAAAGTGAAATAACTCACAAATCATGAATGTGATATTTGTGTGTTATTTGGGGAAATTGAAAGTTAAATTGTGTTGTTTGGATGGTCCAAATAATGAGTTATTTTTTCTGTGGTGTTTGTGAACACAAATTGCAAAAATACTACAATGCCCTCCTTATATTTAATAGATACCCAATCCCCCAACAACTCTATCTGCTCACGAACAGAAGGTGGGGAGATCTTTGCTGTTGAGCCCTCTCCCTCCCAGTGATTCTCGTCGGCGATTCTTACCTGGCGGCACCTTCCGTGCCCAGCTCCGACCATCTTCTCCCTCCTCCATTGCTGCTCCATTACCAGGATATAGAAATAATGCAAGCTTCTCAATCTGGCCTCGTGAATGGAGTCGTTTTCTGCAAATGTGGAAGTGAAGCCATAATGTGAACTTCCAGTACCCCATGAAATCCAAATCGTCAATCTTGGTCATGCCCGACTTATAAATCGAAGGTATGTTTTTGGTTTATTGTATGTATATATAAAACCCCCAAAGTTTAACGGTTGGGTTTAATGGCTCTTCAATAATGAAAATTCGATTATGGTAACATGGAGGTTGCATGTGCTTTTCCGATGATTTTTTGTTGTATGGTTTTTAGGTTGGTCGCTACTGTGACATTTTTTATTGGTGCGATCTTCGCACCATGCGAGATAGAGGCATATGCACCTGAAAAGGATAGCAGAGTTAGATCTTCAACTAGCCGAACTGAAGGAGGATAACACTAGGCTGCTTAAACAACAATGTTCTTGTGAGTCCGCACACGAGAGGAAAAAAGCAAATTTGAAAAAGAAATGAAATAATCCACCTACATTGAAAATCAATAAATGCCTCTCTCTTCAGATAGTCTTCCTCCGCCCTCACTCTCGTGTTCTCCGCTCCCAATTCTCCTTCCACCGCAGCGGTCACCGTCGATCCATCTCTCCCTGATAATCGTCAGCTCCTCGATTTCCTATTTAATTTCCGTTCTGTAAGGCTGTAACTCCCTAGTCTCCTTCATTGTTTCACCTCCTCTTAACAACCTTACTCGACCGCTTTTGTTCCTTCGTCACGACTACACAGAGGGAAGACTTTTGTAGTAGTCTAGTCTCATCGGAAGTAATCGTCCTGTCCATCAATCTCTCCGGTGGGGCTTCGAGTCAGAACCTGACGAAGTAGAGGATCGAATTCGCCCAATTCATTCACATGCAGTTCTCCCTTTTCAAACCTAGCTCTGGGAATTTTGAATTTTCATCCATCATCATGATCAGACCCTCGATAACTCCGAGGTACAGTGAATTGAAGGAAGCTTGAATCATCGCGGCTACGGGGGAATCGTGTTCCTCCTTCCTCGATCACTTCTTCATCGCATATATAGGTGGATGAAAGTAGGGGTGGGAAACGGTTTGGTCCGGTTAAAACCGGACCGGATTAACCCGGTTTTTTACAACCGTTTTAGCTATATCAGCAACCGGGAATTGGATTGGATGGGGATCCGGTTTCAACCGTGACCGGATTGATCCGGTCCGGTTTTAACCAAACAACCGGGTTGTGCAGGTTCCCACCAAAACGTTGTCGTCTACAAATTAATAAAAAAAAAACAAAGTGTGGGACGCTCCTCTTCCCTTCCTCCTAGCCGCACAATTTTTTTCTTCTCAATCGTCATCTTCTTTCAGTTTCTTCTCTTCTCCCTCCCCTCTAGCCCTCTTCTTTTACAAACGACGATGGCGAGCGGCCCTTTCACCTGTGAAGCCGATCAAGCAAGGCGTCCAACAAGCTCTTCTCTTTCATGTTTACAGGTGATGACGAGCAGCAAGCAAGAGGCAACGACGAGAAGACACAACGGAGAGCGGCAAGCAATAGGTCGCCGATTGACGAAAGTCCCAAGAGCGAGATCGAAATGGGGATTGAAGGAGGCGATAAGCAAAGAGGAAGGATTGACGAAGCGATTCACCACCATCTCCTCCTGGTTTCTCCTCAACGAATCGGTCGTCGGCGAATCGGACAGGAAGGAGGCTATTGGCTGGCCACTCGATTTTTTCTCGTCTTCGCCAAGCCTCCGCTGGAATTGGAAATGGAAGAGAGATCGAGGGAAAGACAGCCGCTGAGAAGAGGTGTTGTTTCTCGGCGTTCTCGCAGAGGTGCGGCTGCGCGAGGCTCGGCTGAG